CGAGAGACACGCCAACGATAAGAACCTATTTTGGAACGCGGGCGAGCTCTAGAAGTGCCGAAAGAACATATGGGCCATTTTCAGGAAAATGTGCAAATAACGGTAAAGACATTTGTCTGTGCTATTTTACTTTTTAATGTCAAAATAACAAACATAAATAAAATTTAAAATAAGGCAGACAACTAATTCTGAATGTATTTCAGCAAAATACACCAGTATAGGTTCCATTTGTTGATTAAATTTGAAAATATATAAATATTTCAATGCTGATTTGTCTGTACCATTATCATGGTGAAAGTAATTAATTGAGCTCCATTTCCTGATCTAATTAGGTTAGAGCAATAAATTCTTTTTTTGCACTAAAGAAGTATACTTTTGTTCTTTTTTTTAAATGTATACATGTTTGTTGCCTTTATTTTTGAAGAAATATGTTGATAATAGATGTTTTTATGCATTGTCTTTACCATTATCAGCAGTGCATACATTTAAATCTTAGTTCATTCAACTGGATATAGATGGAGCTGATAACTTTTTCAGAAGTACCAGGATGAATAGCAGTCATTTTAAAACTCTGATTTAGTTATTAATGCATGTGGGCTGACAAAAGAGAAGTTAATGGTAAGTGTCACACAAATAGCTTGTCTTTACCGAGATGTCAAAAAGTTACTATAAGGACCAGGGATCCATAGGAAGGCAAATAGAGATAGTAAGGAAGTGGGCCTAGAAAATGATAGGCCATAAATCTACTTCCTCAAATTTACACACTGTCAGATTTTGACATGAATGTGTCTTTACCGTTATCTTCAATAGTCTTTACCATTATCAATTTCAATAACAGTGAAGACAAAGCCATAATGGTAAAGACAAATTTAAGGAATAATCTTATTCTACTCTAAATTGCTTGTTCAAAAAACAAAACTACTATTTTCTGTGTACAGGTTGTTAATATGACAAGGAGTTGGTAGTAAATACAGCATGTCATGATGTACAATAAGCCACATAATAGCAGATGGGGAAAAAATGCTAATAGAAAATTTCAGCTGATTGATTTTTGACTCCCCTTCAGTGAGTGTCTTTAGTTATAGAACATTGCAACTTACTGAGTAGGTGTGTCTAGGCAAGAGTAACTCACACAACAAATTTCATCGCGAGTACACTTCATTGAAAAATCCAGTTTATTTTTTCAGCGAGCCCAAAATGCCTCCAAAGAAGAAGTCAAATGTTGAGCCCATGAGACGTTACATGGCACGCATAAAGGCAGATCCTGTAGCTCATGCGGCATACAAGCAAAAAGAAAGAGAGCGCTACAAAAAGAAAAAAGAGGCTGGGAAAATTCGGACCATCAAAGACTTGCCGCCAAGAGAACAACGTTGTCTGAGACGGAAGTGGAAAGTAGACAAGAGAGAGAAGAGACAGAAAGAAAAAGGTGAAGTGCCAGATACCATGGCTGAGGAAGCTGTGGACACACCCCCACCAACCCCTGAGCCTGATTCACCAGTACACAACCCAGTGCCTTCCCACCAGAAACAAGCAGGTCAAAAAAAGCTGAGAAGGGAGAACAGAAAGGCATACAGGACAATAAACAAGCACAAGGAGGAAATCAAGAAGCTTGATAAGCAGGTTCATGACCTGAAACTGAAAATCAGACGGTTGGAGAGGCGTGCCCCTACTGAATCAGGTTTACATGGTGAAGCAGTTGCAGGGAGTTCAGTAACTGCTGAATTCTCCCCAGCTTCCAGGGCTAATGCCATTCTGAACTCTGGTGACAGGAGCCGTGTTAAGAAGCAGTTGGTTTTCGGGTTGGCTCTCTCTGATGAAGTACGTACAAAGTTAAAGGCAAGTGCTAAGAGACATAAGGACTCCCAAGTTATGCACAGGATTCTAACCGGGAAAATTATGAGGAAATACAATTTGATTTCCAAAGCCAGACAAGAACTCTGTTTGACACGCAGAGGCGTTCAGAAGGCCTCGTTGGGTACCGGCTCTGTTCTAGAGTACAAAAGAAAGAAAACTGACAGTAAGGTAGATGATCTTGTCAAGTCTTTCTTCCTGGAAGATGTCAATAGTTCTCCAAGTGCCGGGAAACGAGAAACAATCACAAGAAACAAACTCAAGATGCAGAAAAGATACATGTGCGATACCATGGTAAATCTCCATGCAAAATTTAAAGCAGAGAGTGGTGCAGATATTTCATATGCAGCCTTTACTAGGCTTAGGCCGTTCTATGTTGTGGCTCCAAATGTCAATCAGCGCAACACGGTCAAGTGCAAATTACATCATAACTGCGAGTTCAAAGCAGTTAAACTTCACTCTATGGGGATCCTAATGTACAGGGATCCTTACAGTATCATGAAAGAAGTCACTTGCTCTACTGCTGAAAAAGCATGTATGTATCAGGAATGTGAGACATGTAAGGGGAAATTGGGTAGGATGTACAGGGATGGAATTGATAATGGAAAGTTGTCTCAGATGGCAACATACTCAGAATGGAACACCACCAAATAAGAGAGAATCAACTGCCAGGGGAAACCAATTTCTGTCCAACTTACCAAAAAAGTTGAGAAAAAGGCAACAGCTGCTGATCTATGCAAACTCTTTGAGAAGGAATTTGCACAGCTTATGCCTCACCAATACAGAATCTTCCATCAGTACAGGGAAATCAAACAGAAGAAAGAGAATCTGAGGGCTGATGAGTGTGTTCTCCAAATAGATTTCAGTGAGAATTATGCATGCAAGGCAGAAACAGAAACTCAGTCCATGCACTTTGGTGGCAGTAGGAAGCAGATCTCTCTGCACACTTGCCATGCAATGTTCAGAGATCATGTTATCAGGTGTTATTGCACTCTGAGTGAAGACCCTCGTCACTGTGCTGAATCAGTCTGGGCCCATCTTGCTCCAGTTTTAGATGATCTGTCCAAGACTGGAATTACGACGATTCACTTTGTCTCTGATGGGCCAACTACCCAGTACCGAAATAAAACAAATTTTTATCTCCTTGCAACATTGCCATTCACTCAGTGGAATTTTGACCAGGTCACATACAATTTTCTTGAGGCCAGTCACGGCAAAGGGCCAGCAGATGGAATTGGCGCTGCAATTAAGAATGGGGCTGATAGGTTAGTAGCCCATAGGAAAGACATTCTTGATGTCAAGCAGTTGCTTGAGTCATTGCAGAACACAGTCAATGTTAAAATGTATGAAATATCAACAGCACAGATAAGCTCCCTTGCAGATTCCATGAAAGATGTCCACCTCCAGCCAGTCCCAGGTACTATGAAGATTCATCAGCTGATGACATCAAAACGTCTTCAGGGAACAGTTTTCCATCGTCATTTGCCATGCTTCTGTAGTTCTGGTGACAGCGAGTTCTGCACATGCCACTCACGGATGAAGTTTCAAGTTGAGAATGCAAAATGCAAGAGAGTGGATTCAGTAGTGTCGAGGATTGAAATGAATTTAAGTAGGGAACTGGTTACAAAATTTGAAAAACGCATAGCTGAAGGATATGACGTAATCATTGAGGATTTAGATACCTTGGATGAGAGCAGTCGACTTGAGTATTTACACTGGAAAGTATGGAGGGCTGTGAAGCTGCAAGAGGACAGAGGTGCTGATAGTGACGATGATATACAGGATTGCCCCGTCGAATCTGATTCTGATGAGCCTGATAAGTCCGACCAAGACTGGGAACCGGAAGAAGCCTCACCCAGTGCTAAAACTCAAAGCCAAACTTCTCTACTGTAACACTGCAAAGCGTTACAGGCCAATAGGGCTACAAATTCCCCCCCACCGCCGACGCAGTACGGATAGTACATAGATGTCACTCATGTCTAGATATTGCGCGCTGCCTATGGGGGCCCAATTAGTGTAGCGCAATATCTACATAGATGTCACTCATGTCTAGATATTGCGCGCTGCCTATGCCTATGCCTATTGCGTGTTGCCGTCGTATGCTTTGACGGTCACCCAGCATCCACATACGTGCGCTGCTAGGTTTAGAGCTTTAGATTTTGACATTACACGCATGCAAAACACATGCAATCAAGGGCCAAGAGGTTGGTGCTCAGAGAAATACAACAACACTCGGTGTGTCAGGGCTCCTTACCTTAATGTTACAGACATAGCCATGGGAATCGAATGTTTGCGGATATTTCCTAGATTTAGTTATTGGGTGGAATACACGCATGATTTCAAGATTTTTTGTCGTGAGTGCTCCCGGGGTTTTGAGAGTCATTACGAGAAGGCAGCAGATTTTATGGGTGCTCTTGAAGCCGAAAGAGCCAACAATAGGGCTCGTAGGTCATTGAGGAGTATTAGTGTCGGCGTAGAGGATAAAATTTCTACTGTAAAACAGAAAATTAGTAGAGTAACAGGTCTTATAGGGCCTAAATATGTCACTTCTTATTTAATTACGGGTGTTATTATAGGTTTTTTAATATTTTTTGGCATGGATTCTCGAGTTATTTTGATTTCGTTCTTAGTTCTTGTTTGCTCTCATCAAGCATGGGGTGAAATGGAGTGCTCACGTTCACTCACCTCAACTATAGTTGGTAAGAGATATTACCAGCATCAAAGGGTGGTTAACTTAACGCAAGGTGACATGACAGCTTCGATGAGTGATTGCATATCTTGGAACTCAAAAGTTTCAGCGCATTCTCAGTCTACATTAAAACAACTTAAGTTTATCAATATGACAAGACAAGTGTCTTTGGTTGGTTTATATAGGGGTGTGGATTACTTTAATCTTGAAAAAATGTGCGATTACAAATGTGGTGGAGGTGGCTACGACGTTGATTTTGAAGAAAAATCCAAGTTACTCAATAGACAAACATATGTTGCAAACGTTAGCTCTCACGATGATGAACACGTAGGCATACAATGTGGAAAGTGTACGTTTGGGTGCCGGCTTACTAATTTCTGTTATTTGAGTTGGGAACCACACAATGAATGTGTTTTATACGAGTTAGTTACCTCTGGTTTGCGTTTAGGTGTGTTGAGAGAAGAAAATTCTGGTGTCGCCATGGTGATGGTTAAGACAGTTGACGTAGTACATTACACAGCTTTTAATGATATTAGGATAAAATTGTTGAGTGAAGACACCCATCAGCAAAGAGTGTTGCAATGTGGATCGGATTGGTACGAGTATAATGATGATCTCTCTTTGGATTCAAGAATTATTTGGTACCAATATGGTAGCAAACCGGATTTAGAATCTGTGTCTAGGGGGATAATAGCGAGAGGTTCGTGTGATACATTGTGTAAACCCAAATGTGATTCCAAGTACAGTGGTTTAAGATTTTTAACACCAAATCACTCACTTAAGAAAATGAGTCATCCACCTCTCACACACCTTAAAATTAACACTATAGATATAGCACTTCAAGTAGAGGGTATTTTAACAGAAATGATTAGTTGTTCCGTAAGGCAAATTAGACCCATGGCAGACGTCGTACTTAATTTCGGTGGTGATGGTGTGATAGATCTGGAATTGACCGTGCAGACAATACCGTGTGCTGTGGAGTATGTTGGTGAAAGCACCATAGGAGTGTGCTCAATTGATTCTGTTCACTATACAATCCAGAAGAAAATTGACGTTATTCAGATAAAATTACATTGTAATGAAAAAACAAGTTTCGTTTTAAAATTAGGTTCGAGTCAAACATTGATTACTGTTCTAAATAGAGATGTGTGGTCTTTTGTGAAAAATAGTGTATCATTCTTTTATTCTGATGTTAGTGAGCGAAGCGCTGGCATGAGTTCTTCTTTTTCCTCTTTCTTTGATTTCCTCGGTAGTATGAATATTTTTTCGATGCTTGGATTAGATATAAAACCAGACATGATTAAAAAAATAATAGAATTCGCTGTGCTTTTGTTCGTTGTTTGTGTTGTAGGTTTATTTAACCCTATAATTGCCGTGGTTACGCTCGTCGTAGGTTGTATTACTGCTGTCTATTCAATGGTTCCAAACGTTGGGGTAGAAACAGAACACATAGATGATGGAAATATTTATTCCATGGTTGTGTGTTTTATTTGGACTTTTGTGATATATAGAAGGCTATCTAATTCAATTTTGTTGTTTATTGCTGCTTTTCTTTTTTGGTCTCCGAAATTGCTTGTTGCTGCAATACATGTTTACCTCTCCAGATCTCTTTGGATGAGGCTAGTCGCAATGAAGAGAGCAGACCTTTCTGAGTGTTTTATTTATGATGTTTTTTTTTAATTCATTGATTACTGTTGGAAATTCTAAGATCTTTTTGAGTTTAATGGCGTGTTGGTGTTTTTTTGATGGTCTTGTGGTACAAGGTTATGTTGTTATCGGGTTTGTTGCCTTGTCACACTTGTCAAAAGCAAACATTTTTGGTGATATTGTTATTGTTTCTATGCATTGCGTGTTTCCTAAAGCCTATTATGATAGGTATGATGCGTTACATTTGGTGCGTGTGAGAGCGTTACGAACCTGGTTGCGCGGCTACTCCCACGGTGCTATCCCTATACGGTCACGAGCCGCCTCATCAACAATAGCATCGTGTCATCATCAACCTCATCACAGACGATCTCATAACACCGTACATCGGGCCGGTGAGTGAAACTAGCCTTTGCCGTTTTTAGATTCTAAGTCTCATTATGTTAAGTTTACCGCATTGTCGTCGTTGAGGACCATGTAAAATTCATTACTGTCGTCCGATTCTGACGTATGCGTCGTCCTGTACGAATGTTGCGGGGTCATCGGCCTATAACGTGCATTAATTATCGCAAGTCACCTTCGCACATACCAAGACGGCTCAACGGTCTGATAACTGATATCATAGTTGCTCGGATACTCTACCCCTATTCCCTAGCCACCCATTATTTCGCTCTCGCATTGCAAGCGATACCGGCTCATCGAATTTCAACGCTGAAAGCCACAGAGCTGCCTAGCCCAGCACAAATTTTTTTAGACAGAGACACCCACAAGGACAAACACGTACTCGAGTCATCTCTGGTGGCACGACGACAAGACCGTAGTGACCCCCACGACATGACAAAACCTATGGACGTTACTACGATACAACGCCCATGCCATTACGACCATGCGGCCATAACAGACGAGGCGGCCATTACAACGCTTAAGCGGACGCGCTTTCTCGTTTACTTCTGACGCGCCTACGCCCAAGTCACCTCATAACTCATTAATCGTTCCCACCCCCTCACCACCGCTCGGCAGTGTGGCCTCACAACCCATACACCAAGAGGTACCGTCTTCACCCGACGTTCAGGCCTCACAACCCTCACCCGAGTAGGCTTCACTACCCATACACCAAGTCGTACTGCCATCACTCGACGCTGAGGCCTCACAACCCTCACGCCGAGTAGGCCTCACCAACATTACGCTTCATCACGACCCTCCTCACACTAACGCTCGACCACACCCACAAGGACAAACACTTTGTGTGGTCAGACGAGGCACAGACTGCGTATCAGTCATTTTGTAAGTGTCTCACTAGCTACACTGCGACTCTTCCGGCTACGACGTCGGAGCAATTCACACGCAAATGGTAGACACGTAGAGAAGCTATGACGATTGTCATACGCTCACAACCCAGTAGATCACGCTACTGTACGCTTGCACCGAGCAATCTTTGCGATGCAGCGTCACACTAAAGTGGCACACGCGCGAAATAAGCGCCCTTATGGTAGGTGCACGAGGGTTCAGTCCTTTGACATAGGAGACCCCCTTTAATTTCTTAACCCCACGTTGGCAGCCTTACTATACCGTGGTCGACAAACTTTCCTCCACAGCCACTTTGTAGTAATGCGCAAAGCCAGACACGTACTCGCGATGTACATGTGAGTAATCTTAGACACGCATGCCCATTCTCGGCATGGGATGCACATAGAACCGTGCTTACGGGTCGAAATGCCACACGTCACGACCAATGCGTCAGGGATGCTGGTTGACACAAGGCCTCTTTCGTCGCCTCACCACGACAGCCCGTCGACCAACGCGTCAGGGACGCTGGCCGCCACGGGGCCTCTTTCGTCGAACCCCCACGACGACACGCATACAGCCGATAGCTGTGATGCACACGGGTTGTTGCCACCCCAAAGGCGTAACGAAACGCATACAGCCAGTGTGGCTAGAATGCCAAGCACTGATAGCTGTGATGCAGACGAGTAGTTGCCACTCGCGCAATATAGCTGACTGCGCTACAGAGAAATGTATACACGACGTTCATGTAATGACGCCAAACTACGGTCATTCGGTTGGCGGGGTGCATCGCCATTTCACGATGCACACTCATACTCTATAAGTGGCCCATTATTTGCTAAATACCGGCATAAGGATAGTTTTACGGCCTAGGACGACGTGCAGCGTGTGCACCGCTAGCACTAGTCTTGCTAAACGGTAGAGATCATCGTACTAATTTGTTTATTACTTTGTTCGTAAAGCGCACTATAAGAAAGATGCGCTCGATCTAAATGCATGTATTTCTCAGACGTCGTTTAAAGCGGCCTACTTGTAACTCTGTGTATGCCGCGGCTTATACGTCACCGCGCTCTACAAATTGTCTCACGCCGCTATGGCAATTACCGGGCAGTCATTGTCACATACTGTCCCGGCTATGGAACGGTGCCACTTGTTACGCCCACACTCAACATTGTCATGGACCACGCAAACAGCGGTCAAGACGAGGAACGGCAACTACGTACGCTGCTGTTTCTGCCATATCTTGTAACCGCGAAAAGTCCGTATACGATGGAAG